ACAATTATGCGAGTACATATGTCAATTAGAATCGATTATTGATCATTGTTCTAAACTAATCGGGTTTTCATATAAAATTTTTTTTTGTAAATCCCGCTATTCTCAACCATTTCGAAAACAGCGATAACTTTATTTGTCTTATGGATAAGTACGTAATTATCATATCAAATAAATTTAAAAAATGGCATGCGTCAATTAAGTGACAGAATAACAAATATAAGAAATCTATGGTTATGAAAAAATTGATAACAATATTTAGTCATCCTTAAAGTATTCACACATTATACACATAATCACATCACTTTCGTTCATAAATGTACACTGTGGACAATTCCATTGTGGACTTGAAGGTTCAGTAGGCGTAAAACTTTGTGATTGTTGCGTCTCCGGTCGATCAGTTAAGCAAAGCTCACATCGCGACATCAATTGAATATTATCATAAGTACATTTTGGACAACTCCATAAATCGTTATTGGTTTGGGGAATTTTATCATCCGGAGTTATATCCCTTGATGAATTTCCACCGTATGGTGATTTAACATTATTATATTCATCAATTTGTTCATCTAAATCATAATAATCATTTTCAAACGCATTGGTATCATGATTTCCCCAGCCAAATTCATCTTTTATATTACTATTTGATGTCATTCCTCTTAACTCCGGAGAACTCAATACTTCTTGCTTGTCCATAAACGGCGTATCATTGCGTGATCCACCTTGATCAGATTGATGGTCATTTTTAAAAACTGCATGATTCAATATATCATTAAGTAATTCATCGTATTCATTATGTGAAGATTTATGGGTTTTCTCTTGTAAATGTGGAGAAGCTATCTTCGAATGGTCTAAATTTTTCTTTGTCAAACTATTTCTGATATAATTGATAATCGTTTTCTCATTAAGAATTTTGACTTTAGGATGTGATCCTTTATTCTTAATTAAAGGGTTATCCGATTCTTCACTATTATAAACAATAATGCTTAATATTCCTTCTCCAAACCGGTAAATTGAAGCTTGAAAATCTCTTGACACGTTATCATAAATAGGACTATTAAAATTAACACATTTAATTAGAATGATTTTTCTATTAAATGTAGCGATGATATCAATTCCATTATCTCCACGTCGTTGAGGAAAAAGATTAGTTATGATTCCATTTTCATTTAATAAAGTTTCAATAAACCGTTTATTATCTTGACCGCTCTTGTAACTTATTTGTTTAACTGAATGAGTATTTCTTTCTTCAAAATATAATAATTCTTGTTCTGATTCTGACTCTGATTCAAATGATTCTTGTTCTGATTCTGATTCTAATTCTGATGATTCTTGTTCTAATTCTAATTCTTCGATTAGTTTAAAATTTTCCCGTGATATCATCTTTTTAATACAACCAACAATTGTTCTATCAGTTTTAATACAAATTTCAGGGCATGATCCCTTCCACCACGTTTCAGCAGGTTTAGTTAAAGGGTTATATTTTAATTTCTTACTATTATAAACAACAATACTTAATATCCCATCTCCAAATCGATGAACCGAAGCTTGAAAATCTCTCAAAATTTTAACACCAATAGGTCTACCAGTATTTTTACATTGAATAAGAATAATTTTTCTATTAAATGTGGCAATAATATCGATTCCATTATCCCCTTGTTCAGAAGGAAAAACATGAGCCTTAATTCCATTTCTGTTTAATAAATTTGCAATTTGATGTTCAAAAGCATGACCACTATCTTGTCGACGTGGCATACGGGGCCTTGGCTTAGTATGAGGTTTTGGCTGAATACAGGTTTCTGAGTCGAATACGGAGTTCGAGGCAAATACTGGAGATGAGCCGAATAGGTCGAACACAGGATCTGGGCTGAATACGTGATCGGATTTTGCTTTTATTTTTTTAGCGTTCATTATTTTATTTAAAAAAAAAACTGTAAAATACGAAAATTTTTCCTCATATATTAAAAACGCCCATTTCTTTTATACGGTTTTTCTTATTATATCAACCTAATATGGTAAAGAAGAACTCTTTGTATTAAGTTTGATCACCTGCCTAGAACGATTATGAAGCACAAGTACAACATAATAAATTTTTTAAGTAGTTCTATTACGTAATAATGCATTTTCTCATTAATTTATTCCAAAGATGTAAGTGTGTACGTATATCATGCATTCGTAGGGCGTATGTTTTACATTTGAGGTTCCAGATTTTCTGTATCGAACGTATATACGTTCGTACATTCATCTATTATCATTGAAGCCGATGATTTAAGTTTTAAATATGCTAGCGTGCTATACGTCATTTCTTTAGATATTGATGGTTTTAAATTTCCCGCATTGTACGTACGCACCGGTACATGTATGTACAGTTTAAAAACTCATACGTAATCTCTCTTAAAGTGCTTCATTCTCAATTTGTGTAACGTAGCGATTTTTATTTATTTATATATATATATCCGTATTTTTATTAAATCTTTTATTTATTTTTTATCGTTATCATTATTTTTTATTATTTTTTTATCTTTTTTTAATATATTTTTAGTTAGAATTTTTAGTTAGATATGAGATTGATGTAATTTGATATAGATTTAGAAAGCGCAAAGTTGCATAAATCTATGATGGTTTTATAATCAAGTCACTTATTTATATTATTTATTACATAAGGCATGCTTCAATTACCGCGTATTGGCTAAAACGCCATACTAGTTAATTAAATAATCATGTGAAAACAAGTGATTCCAGCGCATGCGTTCATAGACATTTTCTTGCTACCGATACTGCGATAGGGTTGTTAACTGAGTAGGTGTGGCTTTAAAATTTATATCCTTAAATTCGAAACAGCTGGAGCAACTCGGTGCAAATTCTGAAGTAGGTCTAATTTAATGATGTGGGTTGAAGATTGGGTCAACCCAACCCTAGCTATCGAACAAGAAATATATACAGTATACATGTGTGCCCCGCAAAGGGAAAACCTGTAATTCTTTATCTAATAAGAATTACAGGTTTTCCCCTTGCGGCACTCATATAGATCATACGTGATCTAGAAAAAAAAAATTTGTTACATGAAATTGGTTGGAGTATTGTTAAACGGTTTATTCAGTGTATATAATTGTCAAATCCTTTATATATTCCATAGTAAAAGAGTGTGACAATTGACAATGAACAAACCATTACAACGTTAGGGTAAATAAATGAGCACATGATAGCTGTCTTTGTAATTATTGAATTACGGTATTACAGAATATTGAAACCTTGAAATCTGTAAACGTAATGCCTTAATTCCATAATTCCATATTCTATTACTATATTGCTGTGGCATCCCTAAAATGTATACCAGTTTGATGCGCCATAATGACCAACGTATCAAGATTTTTTTTTTTTTTGAAAATTTATTAGCCAATTAGGTTATGCTGCAGCTAAAATTGGCGTCAATTTAACGCCGGGGTAATTAGGATCGGGATCATGTAACGTGATTGGGTTGCATGAATGGATTTGCATAAACCAATAGGTATAGTCTAATGCAGGGATGTGAATAGACATAGTCTAATCAAAAAAATTATTGTCTAATTGTCTAATGGTATATTGGAATTCTATTGGTATAATGAGTCTAATGTCTATTGGTCTAATGTCTATTGGTCTTTAAACTAATTGTTTTTTTATATTAGCAAGATAATGACATCTAAAATTAACCAATAAGATTTGTTTAAATTATATAGTAATTTGTCTGTTATCTAATGACTTAATTAGACACCATTGGACCATTAGACTGTCTATTGAGTGTATTTGGTTTGTCTATTGTCTATTCACAACCCTGCTAATGTAATGATAATCGGTAATATAAAAGCAACGATTCTCTAATAGAGAATCGGGCAAGAAGAATATTAACGGAAGAGAATAATAATAAAGAATCGCTCAAATAAATATAAACTGTGTGGTATTCTCTTCAAATGAACCTTTACGGTAGAGTACCTGAACGATACTCCAGTCCAAATACTATAGCCAAGCGAGTGATTCTACTTATACAAACCTGCGTGGAACCCCTATAGCCCCAACAGCAAACAACCAAGGTTTTATTAGTAATTGTCGCAACTGCAATGAAATTATAATCAGAAAAATTGAAGTTATATATTATTTTATTTAAAAGTTTAATTTAGATTATAATGATTATTATCAAATGAAAATATTGAAACGGTTGTATTAACAATTAAGGAGTCTTTAGCTTGTTCGTCTATAGTAAACATTTTAAAAATGAATAGTTTTTCTGAAGTAACTACTGTTGAATCTGAAATATTCGAAGTAATAACTACTAAATCTACTGTATATAGCATCCAGCTCAGGGCTAAAACGACACACGGCCATTCAATAAGTGTCGTTTTTGATTAGGGATGTTAAGTGGTGCGTCTGGTGCAGTCCGGTCCCAGTCCCTAAAAAGTCTGAGTCCGAACTAGTTAAGGGACTAGTTCACCCCCTGTCAAAAAAAAATTAAAAAACCGGTCCTACTCTATGGTTTAATGTATTATTTTAATTGCAGAATTGCTAATTACATGGATTGTATTAAATTCGTTTTGTATAGCATAGCGGGCTTTCATTCCGATTGGCTAATTTTTGTAGATCATTCCGTGATTTTACAAGATATGATTGGCC